CTTACATTGATAAGCTGGTTAGTCCAAACGGTCCACATTGGTTTCTTGGCAGAAGAATTATACGTGCTGTTCGAAAACCCGAGTCAAATACAATGCTTCAGTGTGGCCACGATGTACAGTTTGGAGAGCTCGTGAAATATCTGATACAAACGGATACCGAAACTTACAATATTCATTTTACGCCTGTATCTTCTCAATGTGACGTATGTGATATTTATTATGACATGATAGGTAAAGTGGAAACATTTAAGCATGACGTTATGTACTTTCTAAACATGACTAATGCATCTGAGAAAGGTGTCATGTTCAAGGATTTTGTAGAAGAAAAGAACGTGGATAACATTATTTTTAAAGTACAAAGAGCTTTTAGATTTAAGAGCGAATCTTTAAAATGCATCAGCGACCACATGGTACATCTTCGTCTGTGGCGTGTTCTACAAATTGGAGGGTTGATTGATAAGTATGACGAATATCCTTTGAACCCTGACGAGAGCCGTGAAGCAAATGTCACAGTGATAATGAATTTGATGTTGAGTGCATATCAGCGGTCATCGCCCAAGGCCAGATTGAACAAACAGGAAGCTTTGCTCCAAGCATACAGTCAGGTTTCTTTGGAGGACCTCGAACAACTGCGGTTGAAATATCTCAAGGACTTGTTACTCTTTGATTATGAGGACAGGCCCTCTTATCTGTTTGATAGGAAAAGTTCAGCCAAGTCTGAAACCAAAACCACTTTTGACTACTTTGATGCCATGCGGTTGAGTTTATTGTTTCCTCCTACAGCGACATGAAGGAGCTGTGCACTAGTGCCCAATTACAATGCTGTCATGTCAGAAGCACATTTAACCCGAACCTCCTCATATTACACCACAAACAGAAACCGTATTTTACTAACTTGACAAAAACTATGTTGCAACTTACATAAGCACCTTGCCCCACCCTGGTCGTGATTGAAAAATATACCGTGTTCCCAAGATATACAAGTATTTATTACCCTCAAGATACATTTGGCGTATTCTGATTGGTAAACAGCCAAAGCATACGAAACCATGTACATTTGTCGTCGGATTTGCCAGGGTGGACGAACCGTACACCCCGTCAAATCTGTCACGTGACACTCCACACGGGTTTTACAAATGACCTCGACCTTGGATGGAATGTGGCTGCCAAACGGCTGATCGCTTCGAAATTTTCGAGTTGGCGTTTACAATTATGAGTATCAACAGAGTAATAAACTTGTTGCCATAATTTCTTATTTGTTTGTGGTACATATACCTACACACACAGGCGAACAGAGACGCGTGTACGCGTGTGTGTGTGTGTAAATATTCAATTTTGGTTAACCAAATAGATCAGTCGTCTTTAGGGTAGAGCAACATTACGCCAGACAAGAAGGGATCGGGTTCAAGTCTTGATAAAGTATTTTGTTATTCTGCTGACAACTCGATTATTTACAGCCCGCCGCCATATAGCTGGAATATTGCTGAGTGCGGCGTAAAACTAAACTCACTCACTCACTTTTATGCTGACATAACTTACGGAATAAATGCTGTTCACAAATATAACCGTTACATATTCTTTACTGCAATGGTCATTATGTGCAAAGCAAAATTTCACATTAGCGTTGAAACATTTTGGCTATTCCAATCGTAAGAGAACATCCTGTCTTAAGATGAACTGTCAATACATCACTGGCTTGAACGACCTTATGAGCCACAAACGAAGACAATCAGTTGCATTTTCATACGCAATGCAAGATGCGATACAGTGCAATGGTGGGACACAACAGGACACGAAAAACACCCGCACAAGTTGCAAAATCGCATCCCCAGGGCCCTAGCATAACCTATGCATAACCAAAAATAGAATTACATCTATCTCAATCTTGTCGAGAATATGCAAAACCTCACAACCAGAAACAAGTATCATGAACGAGACACCTACAAACAGTCCCATTCCTCTGACCACCCTATTGAGAAAGACATATGCTCTTTGGTGTAGACCTTGATCCTAATTTCATGCAGTCACGTTTATATTTACTACTTTGCTTCACACGAGGTTTGAGCTTTACAAAGGTGTCATACAAACACATAGTTTGTACGTACTCTCCACAAGGGACCTACTTTAAGAAGGACCCTTCCAGTGACCTTCCACGTCAGCGCAGATCGGTTGACACCTTGTCACGCGTTACCCTAAGAATGATGTGTACATTTGCTCCGACAAAATTTGATAATACTCATCAAAGCGATACCAAGAGATTAAATCCAAAAGAACTTAGAAAATACAGACTTATTAAAATCTGATGAAAAGTAATTAATTACCATGCTGAACTGTTTTGGGTAACTTTTCATTCCGCTTATAAATATCAGCTTAATGAAAAACATCCCTCCTTATCCGAAACTCAAGCAGGTTTTAGAAGGGGATACAGTACCCTTGAGTACATAGGTACCGTATATGTATTGGAAGTATTGAATGTAAGAAAAAATATAGATTGCTTTTGCAAATAAATCGTTAAAGCATTCGACAGAGTTTGGCGGTAAACCTCTGGCAAAAAGTATTACAAACACATATCTGGCAAAAGTTATCAATGTATCATGATATTACATCTTATGTCCCATATAATAGAAACATAAAGTACGTCTTTCAATGTATTTCATTTGTAATCTAATACGACAAAACATTTTCACCTCTATAAGAAATCTCTGCTGGAAACAGTTTATTGTACAGTTCTGACTGTATCATGGGCATGTGTTTCTGACTCACTATCAAATAGTGATGACACCCGGTGTTCGCGAAAAGGTGAGTGTATCCTGACCCACCGGTGGCTCCCGTCATGAACAAGTGGAACGGCTCGTCAACCGTTCACCTGAAAAAAAAGCGGAAACGTCTGGGACAAGTCAAAATAGGGAACGGAATCAGATATCATTTTTGTCACCGATTAATTTGAAAATATATCCACATGTTTATCATAAAACTGTTCAAAAGCTTTACTTAAACCTTGAATGTTGTAGCCGTGATCGAACAACTTCGTATGACCTTCCTTGAAACCTTGGTAATAAGAGCGTGCTCGATTGTGGATAAAACGATTGTGGATTGACCGATTGTGCAAGGATACAACTTGTCTGTTGTTTGCACTGTTCCTAACTGACAATCAAGCGTTACTCACGGTGGGGCTGTTGTAAACGTGAACAAATAGAAAATACATGCTTGTTTTATTGTATATAGACTCTATGAAAGGTGGAATCATGTGTATACCTTGGTCTTGCCAATATGTTTGATGTACCAGTACGGTTCGAAGTTTTATCAGCACAGGCCGCTAGAGCATGCACTATACGCTACACCCAGGGCATGTATTACTTTTATTGAATGAATGTCAGCTGAGCGTTTGGACGTTTTGGTTATACCAGTTGAACTTTACCGTAGTGAAATATGACGATTTCTGTGTCCGTATTTTGAGAGGAAGCAATTCACAAAAGTTAGTCTTAACATATATAAAGGTATAATTATCAATAGTAGTAGATTCGGAACGTTAAATAAATAGCTATATGCTAGTCATGAAAACGTTCAAACCTGATGAGAATATTTCATGAATGTTTGCACAAATGTACCGGAGTCGTCAGTGAAAATGTTAATAACCCTGTAATGTTGTTTTCTTGTATTTTATAGTCTCTGTAATGAATACGTGATGTCACTTCTCAGGTCACTGTAAGCGTAGTGTTCAGTTCAATGGTTAAAGCGTTCGCTCGTCCCGCCGGCTTCGATCCCCCATGTGGGTACAATGTGTGAAGCTCATTTCTGGTGTCCACCCGCCGAGATATTGCTGGAGTATTGCGAAAAGCGGCGTAAACCTATACTCACTCGCATGCTTGGTGAGTTGAGTGTCGTACCGACCAATCATCTGAATTCATGTCAAACATCACTACATTATAGATTCCTCGTGGAGTGTAGTCACTGCGTTTACTCCGTCGTCAACGGAGTTTTGTTATTTGTAGCTTTGTTAAATTAATTACAAACAATCTTCGGTAGCGATCCATTCCTTATACCATGCATGTGCCTCGTGTGCCAGTTCCTGTTTGTGCAACCATGTAATGCGGATTAAATATCAGTCACCCAATTTATGGAAGATTAGTTTCTATAGTTAGGACAAGACTACCTTCACTATGACCTATTAGTTACATGTAGGCGTCCTTTAGATATCTCGGGTGAGGTTCGATTCTGTACTTTATGGAACGTCACGCAATATCTTCAAATATAAAATGCTGCCACAAAACACTGTTCGTGGTATGTGTTGCTTTGATAGTAGTATGATACACATACATCTAAATAATACATACTCTACTTCCATTGTGAAATTCTATATAACAAGAGGTTAAGTTTCGTAAATATCGTCCAGCGCGTACGGTTTGGAAGTACATTTTCTTTGTAAATTGCAATGTACCTTGATCTGTCGCTGCTGCTGTACAGGCGAATACAGTGCAATAAATTGTGTTTCAGTAAACACGACGCCACATCTTTTAGCCCCCATTTCCACACCAAAAAATTCCAATTTTTGTTACCCATTAATGACAAGACACTTTCTAAATGCCATCCAAAATGTAACAAATGATTTGATTGCCTGCTGTTTCGTGGACAGTTTATTTTGACACAGTATAATACAATACCTATTGATACAATAATACAATACCTATTGCAATGCATGTTAACCTTTAAAAAATCGGCCCCTCTCTGCCAAAAACATTTCAACAAAGGCCAAGAAAACTATAATATCTTATTATGCCTTTGTAGCTTTAAAAGTCGGTGTGATTCGACAGGTAGACATCCCAGTCTATGCGGTGTCCATACCTCTGCATGGTAAGCTATAAGGATGGGAGGATTCACATTTTCTATCTTACTAAGCTTATCGACGCAATCTAAATATTAAAATATTTTATTCGGAGGTATGCATAAATGTGGAATGACGATACACATGATGAATAATGATATGAATAACTAAATCCGCAAATGAATTAAAAACATCGATTCGACTGTACAAATGACATTATAATATAAACTTTTGTCTGTGGGTGATTAAAATCATAAATATGTAAAGTCGTTTGTGCACATCACACAAAGTTCCCCTTCAACAACAAAACACACATCGGTTGACATAGTCTATGTCTGAATTCCGGGGACAAGCACTGTCGAACTGGTTTTACATTGAAGGCATTCATGCGCTTCCTTTACACTTCTGCTGATGTCGCATCATGTTCCCGGACTGTGTGAAACATCGACCACAAACTCCACACGCATATGGCTTCTCTCCTGTATGAAGACGACAATGCTTTATGTACGTGGAACAATCTGTGAAAGATCGATCGCAGTCTTTGCATACATATGGGCGGACTCCAGTGTGGATGCGCATGTGTGTGTGAAGCGATGACCGCTGAGAGTATGTCTTATCACATCTATTGCACTGAAAGGTCTTCACTTTGTCCGACTTCACGCGTGTTTGTTTAACCACCGGGAGTCTTCTTGTGCTGGGCTTTTCTGTAGTTGTCGGGGCAGAGACGTTCTGGTTTGGGGATTCTTGGAGGACCTTTGTGTGGTTTGCGGATTCTTGGAGGACCTTTGTGTGGTTTGGGTCACGTTTCCATATTCGTTTTTGGTCAAGGATTGGTATTGGTGCTTTGGTTCCTTGTTTCATACCACACTCTGTGTCTGAACCCTTCTTTAATCGTTTCTGCTTACTGTCTTTCTTGGGGGTGGTCGCCTTTCTTTTCTTTGTAATGGACAAGTCAATTGCCTCCGTCTGCATGGACATTGGAATATTCTCACTTGACATGACAGGTTGCTTCTTGCCGACTGTTTTCTTGGATTTCGGTTTGCTTTGGGACTCTAGAGGTGTGAAGGGCATGATTGAGGGAACTGCCTGGTAGTGGGTGTTCCAAGACTGATTATACATTGGAATTGGGAACCGATTGTAGTCAGAACTACAGTCGCTACTAGACTTTTCCGGACTTGGGACAAAATTGGACTTGGATTGGACATCTGGTTTCACTGCCCACATTACATCTCTGTTGGTGTTCATAAATTTCACCGGAGATTCCACTTCCTGTTTCACTTTCACTGTAGTAAAGTCAACCTCTATAGGAGTGACCGATGTGGTGGCCACTGATCGGACAGAGCGGAACGGTGAAGTACACGTCGACGTTGGAGAAGATATGTCCTCTGGTTCAATCTTGATCTCGATGTCACTGTCTGGCAAGCCATAGTTGGATTTCTCGTCACAGAAAGACGGCAGAAATTTTGAAACACTTTTCTGGGAATCCTCGTCGAGAGAAATCACCGGTGTTATACCCGAGGATGATACTTCTTTGTTTTGGATCGCACTTCCGAAACTGTCGCAAGATTTGGAACTGTCGTCGAACACTGGAGATATTTGAGAAGACTTAGATTCTGGAGAAACTTGTATATTTTTGGATCGTTCGGATGATGTTGCTGAGCCGCAGGAGAGCCTCGACTTGGAGTCGGATGTCAAAGAGGACGAGTAGCCTTCATCGGATTGAACTTTTGTGAAGAATGGAAACTGTTCGTCCTGGTCGCTGTATGTTCCAGATCTTCTTCTGCCTTCTTGTGGTGAAGTACTATAGGGCTGGAAGAGCGGGAATGGCAGCAGAGACCGTGGGCTTGATTCCGGACTCCGGCTCTGTCTTCGACTCGACCCCATCCGATGATGAAGGAGCTGACTCATCACCATTGCGCTGCGAATTCAAGGAGAAAGTTGTTACGGTTGAATACCAAAATTTTATAATCTGGTCAAAATTTTGAATTATTATTTAAAAAAAAACACATTTTGAATTACACCAGAAACCCATGGTTGATGGGTGTATCGACAGATAGTAGGTGGGATAAACAGTACTCACTTATGCTGGAAGACACAGAACGACTGGTAGTGCTGGTTCAACACCTGACTGAGGTGGGAAGATATAGCGGGCACTGGTGCTCGGGAAGTGGGCAGACCTGGAAAAATGTTAGAACAACTGACTGTCTATTTCCCTGATATGTTCAATATATTCACGTTTATACAAAGCATGCATTTAAATGTAGCACAATACGGGGACGTGCAGGTGTGTAACAACGAGGACATAGATGTTCGGTATGCTCTAGTCAGCATTTTACTCTTCTAGTTTATATTACATCTGAACAAATGTTTCGCATTTATATATAGGTTTATTAAATAAAGTTAATAAAATAAATCGAATTTTCATCAACCAAGATCGTGAAATAGACAACTACAAAAAGCAAACATAAAGCACAACCCCCTGCCGTGCATATATGGCATCGTTGCTGGATGTACGTAAGATTCAATGGGAACCGTAGACACCAACGCGGCTACAAATGGCTGTTTAACGAAGCAGCAGAGCATCTGTACTCACCAAGCATGAAATTTCTCCCACGAGGAACTCCGTGCGTCATAGTCCTAAATTAATGTAATGTGAAATCCAACTGCAGCACATTTATACAGACATATCGAGGTGTTGACTTAAACATGTTTTCATAGAGTGACAAGCATAGAATCCACAACGCTCATCTGGGCTTCAAACGTGAGCAACAGTTAAAACACCGCACGATAAGTACACCAGTTGTGTGGCTCCACCATTGACTGGAAGACTCACGTCTACAAAAACACTCTGACACGTCTTAACAAAAAAAAGACTCAGTTTTATTGAAGCTTCTGTTAATCCTGGAAACTGGTTTCACTTTAATCGGATTAGAGGGTAAATGAGAGGATTGCTAATTGCCGCTGTAATTGTTTTAGGTGGAGTTCGGCAAGGTGTTAGCTTATCCCATTGTGTGCTTCTGCGTCCAGCTTGGCAGGTAACAATAGAATGTTTTTATTACAGATGATACAAACTTAAGCCACACTATCGTGCTTTGAGCAGGGACTCGTCAGCCCGACTGATGAATGACGCTGACATCTTCATTGTTTCAGTGCGACATTGCGGTAGTCAGCTGGAGCGTACGAACATTTGATACGCCAGGTTTTTCAGGTTTATGTTATATGACGTATTTCTTGTATACATGTTGTGATTAACATATTGGTTTAAACATATTTTTATTTTGCAAACAACAGAAACCTGAACTGGCGTTCAAGCCTTAAGGCTTATGTTAACGCCGCTCCAGTATACACACTTTACATAAGCTGGATACATAGCATAATTAAATATGAAAAACACAACAACTAGAAAGTAAAAGAATAATACTGGGAACATGGACACTTAAACACAATGTCATAACTGTGATTACATAATAAATACTTTAACGTAAGGAGTTGGTTATGCCGAGTAATGCTTGCAGCTGCAAATCCAAATATAAAATATAAAAAACTTGAAGTACATTGTATATATGTTGTGGTGATATTCACAGGAAGAGCTTACTTTTAGTAATAAACTGGTGTTATGAGTTTAGGATTTTAGTGTTAATTGATTTATTCAGTGAGTCATTACCGTAAAGTGCTCTTTTAATATTGAATCCTTGACTATAAAAACACAATAATTATTCTTAAATTTTGATAATTACGACATGAGAAAAGGTAGTGAACAGCGGTTACGTTATCGTGACCACATGAACATCTGGATGTTTCCGATATGTGTCGATTATATCTGTCTGCATTAAGATCATTACAGCCAAGTTTGATTCACATTTTAATCTGTTGGGACTTATATTTCAATAATTTTAAATGATCGTAATTCGTAACACAATTTTAAACTATTACATTACTGTTTACAATTGTCTTGACCATTATGCATAAGAGGATTGCTTGGTACATACAGCGGTATTGGAAATGATCACGCTATACCCACGAGAATCAGTATGAGACATCTACTAACCCACATACACTTTGCTTGTATTGCTTGTTCGTTTTTAACGCCGCACTCAGCAACGCTTTGTTATAACTGCATTTGATTAAAAGGAATGAGTGCAAAATACTTAACTATTATAAAAATCCGACTCAAATTCACTTCTTTTTGTGATTGTAGGCACAAACCCACACATTAGGGTCCCGAACTGCGCATGCGTGGATACAGTTTTAATGTAAAAACAGAACACCCGTGACAATGTATTTATAAGTACACACCATATTCGAAACTGAAACATTATAAGAAAAGTATGATTTGACTGAGGTGTACATTTAAAATACGTTGGCATGCACCTGAAGGTAAAATCTAATCATCATGAGAAGCACGTGGTGCACGTACACATAAACCCCCAAAGTCCACTTTCGGGGAAACTCACAATCGCCGTGCAACTGTACACTTCAAATGCCCCGGAGACGGGATTTCACTGAACAGACAAAATGGCGAGTTGATAGTACGACAGATATGATGAAAATCAGTATCCCAAATTTCCTGATGTTTGGCACATCAAAAGGTCTAATTCCGCGACCGACTTCCAGTTTCTTTCAAAATCTTGAAATTTCGAGTATTTACTTCAATTATATTTTCGTTGCTTCGATTAATTTCTCGGGCGTTGCTTCAAGTATCTTTAAATACTAGAAATTTCGAGTAATATCTCGTTGCTTCAACTATTTTGCCGTTGCTCCGATTAATTCCTCGTTCCTTCAATGCATGTTCTCGTCACTTCAATTTTCTTTCAAAAACCTGAAATTTCGAGGTTTTGAAAGATACTTAAGGTAACGAGAACATACATTGAAGGAACGAGGAATTAATAAGAGTTATTATATTATATGTGCAACTGTGCACTATAAAGATAAATAGCTATAAGTGCATGCTGAAAACGTTTTGTTATAGAGATATTATAATGTTATGAAGGAACACCCGGCCGTGAAAGGTCATATAACAGCATTGGTTGAAGCGCCCCATAAATAACAAGTAATAGGCGCTCTGCATTGGGATCGCGTTGTTTGTCCGACCGTCTTATCTCGGATTAGAACAAGACAGGAAGTAAATGAATGATTATTTTGATTCTCCTCTATCATAAATAATCCAGCTTTACATCATATCCTGCATATAATCCAGTCCGGGCCGTGACAAACAATGGCGAACAACACCAGCAACAGTCTACACCGTTGATTAACGAATAACGCTGAACCAGCCTGGCTTCACATTGTGACCGTTGTGTCCTCATTTCAATGAAGTAATAGGAATCCATGCACGGCACATTATTATGCATGTGCATATGTTGACCTAAAGGAGATTAGTCACATCACGTGCTCATATGGCTGAGTTATGCACATCCAGGTACCGGATTTAGAAAACAAAACAAAACACGCCCAGTTATTTTATATCCTCTGATCTCATACTTTAGGTCATCTACGGGAACACCTTCCACTTGAGAATGATCGACTATGCAGTATGTAATGCACCTCACCAGGGATATTATGGTACCTCATATCTCAGACTGTATGGTATATATTCTAAACAACTGCTTTCACGCAGGATATTGTCTTACGTTTGAGTGAATGACGGGTTTTTTCGCATTTACAAAATGGTGTCTGTCGTGTGGTATGTAACAGTTGGGACTAAAATCTTACGGCCCCAGGAGCTCCATTGGCGTTGAACTAGTCCTGGATATTATGTTTTCTCTACACTCGAAGTTCTAACATATTTGCCAACCCAGGGCTAAAGTTACTGGTGCATGATTAACCCCACCTTTCTGAAGATTCTGGTGACAATATCTTACTATCCACAATCTGAATACATGTACATTGTTTCATACACAGACTTGGATATCACGCGAAGTTCTAGGTGCGTACGAGGATGGATGATTTCCCAAGAGTCGCAAAGAAAGTGACTCCGGTCGAACTCTGTTTGCCGAACTATACCTCTGTTGGTCGAACTATATCTCTGGTGGTCAAACTATACCTCTGTATGTCGAACTCTACCTCTGTTGGTCTAGCTATACCTCTGTTGGCCGAACTATACCTCTGTTGGTCGAACTATACCTCTGTCTGTCGAACTATACCTCTGTCTGTCGAACTATACCTCTGTATGTCGAACTATACCTCTGCTGGTCGAACTATACATCTGTTGGCCGAACTATACCTCTGGTGGCCGAACTTTACCTCTGTTGGTCGAACTATACCTCTGTTGGTCGAACTATACCTCTGGTGGCCGAACTTTACCTCTGTTGGTCGAACTATACCTCTGATGGTCGAACTATACCTCTGATGGTCGAACTATACCTCTGTTGGTCAAACTATACTTTTGTTGGTCGAACTACTGTGGGAATGAAGAGCGGCTGCACTCTTATCTACTTAGCCCAAGGTCAAATGCTAGAAAGTCCCTATCTTTTAGGATCTCTCAGCAGCAGTAAAAGTGTTACCCTGTACTTGGGGCGGTGGGATGGCCCAGTGGTTAAAGCGTTCGCTCGTCACATCGAAGACCCAGGTTCAATTTCCCACATGGGTACATTGTGTGAAGCCCACTTCCCGGTAGATATAATGTGTATATTCTCACGATGTATTACTGCGATTGTATTACAGGAAAACACAATACCGTGAGTCCGCAAGACCCTTTACTTGTCCACCACTCAGTTTGCTGTCGGAAACTACCCGGATTAAGTATAGCAGGCATTAGTAGAAAACTGGAAACAAGCCAAAAAATCGAGTTAGTTGTTAATTCTAGGGAAGTCAGTGGGGTGGACCCATTGTCACAGACCTTATGCCTTGTCATGCCAGAAGCATCGTGGCCAAATTACGTGCAGAATCGCTCCACTGAATCTGAAAACTGGACG